TTGATGTTAATAAAATTAGACTTTGTGAGTAAGAAAAGAACTTTTAATTGATGAGATTTCTGAAAGAGTGAAGATAATAATTGAATAATCTTGAGTTTCACAATTTATTTGGGGGCAGAAATGTTTTATGAAAAAAAATGAAAAATGAAAAAAAAATTCATTTTCTATTGGTGTATCTTAGGCCTATGGCCTCAGAATTGCAGCTCTTTTTGAATAGGAGCACTTAGTTTCCACAGGTGCATTTCCTCCAGCAGATTTATATGTCTCATAAATGCTTTATATAGCTCATAAATGCAGACTTTCAATCCTACAGGTACTGCTGATCTGGAAGTTTTATTTTATCTTTCAGGCTGATGAAAATGACACATCCTTGTTGGGAGATGCTACTCTGAATGGCAGCCGCATTGGTATAAAAAGAGAAGAGAGTGATCCTGATGAGAAGAGAGCCCAGAAAGAAACTGTGAAGTAGAAGTCCACAGGGAGAGAGGAAGCTGCTAACCAGGAGCTGCAGGGGTGGAGAGATTCGCAGTGAGAATCCAGAGGAATGCTGCTGAGTGAGAAAACACAGTCAGGAAATGGAATCACGAATCAAGTGAAAAAGGAACCAGGCTGAAAACACACACTGTATATTTAGAATTCCCTAGGATGATGCGTATTGATTCTCAGGACAGTCTAGGTACTTTCACATAACAGGCTTGGGCAATTCAGGAAAAAAATGTTAAAAGCTGGTAGGTATTTTCAAAATATAAATTAGATCAAAAGCAGCTATTTCTGGAAATGTAGATATACTAATAAACACAAGTGAATGCTTATTGTATATATGGCAAAATAGAAACAGCATGCATAATGTTTTTTCAGCATAGAGAAGTCGGATTACAAGTAGGGAAAGGATCAAAGAAAAGACAAGATAAGGACTTGTTTTTACAGCCCAGGAAGAAAAGCCTGTAATGGGTGCTGGCAGTAGAGAGGGGCAGAGGATTGAGGCAGGTTTTGAATATGAAGTCACGTATTCCGTGCTTAATGCACACCAGAACTTTTCTAAGAGTTTTACACATATGTTTTTTTCACTAAATTCTCACTGGGACCTAATAATGTAGATACTTATGTTATCCCTTTTTTACAGAAAGGGGAAAGTGTTTGAAGAGCGTAAGCTAAATCATCTAACTGCAAAGTGTTAGAGCCAAGATTTTAGGGTCTTCTTGTATGGGTTTGTCAGCCATTCATTCCGCAAGAGAAGCTGGCAATAGTTTAAGGTGGGCTGAAACCTAGCTCATATCCACTAACTAAGCCTTGTTGTACCTGCCACTTAAGCAAATGAAGCCTCTTCTTTAATTACCTTTAAGTGAAGGTATTTAATGATATGCCTTCTCGCTAATTGACAACCTTGTAGGATATAGACTCAAATTGACACCGGATTCTGTATTTTAAATGCCATGCTAAATACACTATATATGGGAAATAAAGGAGTGTGAGGAATCAAAGAAGATTCCCAAGTTTCTGTTTTAAGCAATTGGTTACACGTTAGTGCTATTTACTGTTAACAGTGGATACTTCAAACTTTGGGTGTAGTTATTATGCAAATAATATTTTGGAAATTGAATACATACTTGGACTATAAGTTTCAGTATATGTTCATCTTATGTTTACCAAATCCCAGTAGGGTATGAAAAAATGACTTCATTCTTAGAAAACTTGCTTTATGTCCCAGGGGTTGACCCGCAGGGATCATATTAAGCATTGGCTCTGGGTGAGACCTGCTAATAGGAAGCACTAGAGGGACACAGGAGGAGGGAGGAGAGGAACATCAGGGCATTTATTTTCTCGGGTGGAAACATCCCTCAACCAAAATTTAGAGCTCCTGCCATACAGCCCTTTCCACTCACCCCCACATTATTTGTGTTGCATACATTGCTCCTCCCCTTGCTCTTTCATGAGTAAGAATCGCCAGAACCCCTATTGCTAGTAAATTGTTTTGCACAATTATTCTGGTCTCACCACACCCTTTTCTCATTCATGAAAGACTTGTGATATTTTGCAATATATATTTGGATTTTATCCTTGTTCTTGGGAATCTCTGGAATGAAAAATAGTGTCTTTTGTATGCTAATGAGATTCCTGGTGGCTCAGGACTCTGGATAGCTTCAGAATGACAGCAGGTCATGAGAATGACCAAGGCAGGATTAGAAGGTTGAAACTTTGAACACCACCACCTGAACTCCATGGAGTGGAAAGGGACTGTAGATTGAGTTGCTCACCAATGACCTATGATTTAATCAATCATGTTTTCATAATGAAGTCCCCATAAAAACACAAAAGGATTAGGTTTAAAAATCTTCTGGATTGCTGAACACATGGAAGTACCCTTAGGATGATGCCCCAGACAGGACAAGGAAACTCCACATCCCTTACCACCTTCCTTGAACTGTGCATCTCTTCCATCTGATTGATTATATATCTGTGTTGTTTGTAATATCCTTTAAAATAAATGAATACATGTAAGTAAATATTACCCTGAGTACTGTGAGCTACTCTAGCAGATTAATGAAACCTAGTGAAAGGGTTATGGGAACTCTAATTTATAGGTAGTCAGTCACAAGTACAGTTCACAACCTGGAACTTGCAACTGGCATCAGAAGTGCCAGGCAGTTTGGAGGGGCTGAGCCTTCAACCATGAGATGTGACACTATCTTCAAATAGATAATATCAGAACTTAATTCTAGGACAACAGCTCGTGTCCCCTGGAGAATTTGGTGTCAGAAATGTTGCCTCTGGTAGTGTGTAAGAGTAAGAAAAACACTTTGCTTTTTTGTGTTTCCTATCCTTTGAAAGTCTTTATTAAATTCTCCTCAAATTAAGCAATTTGATTACCCAAATTATCTAATCTGTTTTTTGACAGGACTCTGACCTACACAGTTCCCTTGTTCCTAATTTACATTAAAAAATAAAACAAAACTTTGGGCTACATAGCTAGTAAATTCAGTTCAGCTTGAAAAGTTTGTAAGGCTAAGCAAGAAAGAGAAGGATGCAGAAAACTTTGAGGACGTTAGAAAACATTTTGCAGAGGTGTCTTAAAATTTCTAGAATTTCAGCACCTCAACAAAGAAAAAATACATTATGGGCAGAGTTCATCCTGGGCAAAAGCAGAAAAGCAGAGAAGAGTGAAAGATAAAGGCAGGTTGAGGAAACTACAAATAGATTTTGCTGCTAACTTACGGGGGATAAGGAATTGTCAGAAGTGAACTTGCAAAGATTTCCAAAGGACTAGATAATACCAGGGAAAAAAGAGACTGACCACCAAAGAGCTAAGCTATAGGATTTTACTAGAAATCTTAAGTCTGAGTGAGTGGAATATTTAACTTGATTTCTCAAAGCCTGATCATAATCACACAATAATAACTTTGATTTTAAAGACAGAAATATGTATGCACACATTTGCACATTTTTCCTCTGCAATCATGCATCTATTGTATATCTACTGATAGGGGAGAGTGCAGTTATGTATTGCTGTGCTAAGTGAAAACTAAATATTCTGTTAGTAATACCTAAGCCTCAGAAAGTTTGAATGTTATCGTGTAAAATTTCATATTTAGACTCACATTACTTAGAGAATATTTGTTTTGGTTTATTTTGTTTTTTTGTGTGTTTATTTTTGCTATGAAGACTTACTGTAATCTTTAGTAGAACTGAAATTTTTTTATCGTATTAGGTAAAGAGATAAAACTTACTTTCTTAACATATGGGCTTGCATAAAGTCTCATACACTTTGAAAAGTTATGTTTTCCCAAGCTGAATAGGATTTTTACATAATGATGATGTTGTTAAATTAGGTAACAAGTTTTGTTTTTGTTGGCAGTCCGATTCAAGAACTACTGACCACAGTGAGTGGAAAGGGCAAATATTAGAGCTGACGATGCTGACAATAGGTGAGCTCTTTACTAAGATGCTAAAATTAGCTCCAATTATAGACATGGAGAAAAATGGGTTCTAGAGTCAGATTCCTTAAGATTAAATAATGTTTAACTATTTTTTTCACTGCTCCCCAACTAAAAGATGAAACTAATAACACTACCTCAGCGCATATGAGGATTGAATAAAGTAAGGCCCACAAATTACTAAGAATAATCTGATATGTAGTATGCGCCATGCAAGTGTTATGTATTATGATTAAATTCATTAGTGCCTTAGTTATACAGTAAGTTTTTAATGATTTTAATTATCACTTTTTAAAATCTCTACTTACAATTAAAACATCATGCCTGCAGACTCTAGAACATGTGACTTATCCATCCAATAATTAAGTATACTCTCACACCCAGCTCATTCTCATTCTTTCGTTATTTTTTTCTTCATTGTTGCTAAATAACCTGTTGGTGTCATATCATTATTTTGAGCTTTGGGGATTTTAATTATAACCTCCAAAATTCCTCTTTTCCTTGAGTATATTCAAAGTAGTTGGTGCCATTTGTTAACATAAGCAATTGGAATTGGTTCCTAGCATTTATGGTGAATTGTATCACTTTATTTAGTGGATCAGAAGATCAAAAACAAAGAGATGCTGAGAACCACGGTCAGAGTAACACTGGCTTACTTCTCTATCATGAGCCGATTGAGATTATTCTCCTCCTAAGATCTTATAATAGTTGACGGAAAATACTGGCCTTATGGCAAGGGAATTGAAAAAGCTAACATGGCAAATTCCTGGCTCAGTGGTGGGAGATATTGACCATTATGAGAAAAATATATAAATTACCAAGAAATCAGAAGGCCATTCATGTTGATCAGATAATCCTTCCAACTCTGCATTTGCAGAATCATTTTTTAAAGAAACCCCTTCAAGGTCTTTCACAATTTATTTTAGACTTTGTGTGCTTTCTGTGTAAGACTGAGAAGCATTTAAAAACACATCCTGAGTAAAAGTCCTGTTATGTAAAATGTGGTTTCTCTGCCTGAGTAGAAAAGGATGCCAATGATAGGGTGATCTCCATACTCTGTATCTATACTCACTGTAAGGATACGGATCTGCAACTGGTTTTGTTTTCATATTTCTGCAATGATCAATGACCAAAAGAAATATAATGAAAACTCACGTTATGATATCTGTGATCATCCAGAGTTTTATCTTTAAGGCTCTTCAATTTTTTTTTTCAATTCATTTTGTTATGGTTACATTTTCAATTCAGCTTAGGAGTTTAAGAGTAATCATTACTATAAGTATTATACAACTTATTACTCTTCAGGGTTGTAATAAAATATGTATGTCTTTATATGTCAAAAAAAGAGTAATCCTATCTCAGTTCATGAGAAAAAACAAGTTCATGATATTGATAAAATGATTGATTGAAATCTCTTTTTTGTCTACATGGTTCCTTGTCCATGTGACATATTTAAATCAAAATAACTTTGTCTCTTTCCGTAACATTTCAGTCTCTGTAATTTCCTACTTCAATCTAGAGACAATAGAATAATTTGGGTGTTCTGCCAGTGAAAAGATAATGGCTTAAAAGGAACAAAGTTTTAGAAAATGTAAGCTTTGGCCATTTTTAACAAATAAATTTTTTTAATTACTAATTTTACTGAAAGGTAACCAAGTATAAAGTAGCTGACACTTATATTTTGTAAATAGAAAAATGCGTATTCAATAAGAGTTATTGTTCAATTTAGAGAGAAAAACTAAAAAAAACTCAATTTAAAACTTAACTCAATTTTAAACTTTATCATAGACCGAAATAAATTCTTAAAAGAAAGAATTAAATGCTGAAATTTCAATCACAAAAAATTGGAAAATGCCATCACAAAGTGTGTTTATTTGTACAATTAAACTGGGACTTTATAGTAGCCCTTTGGACTAAAAACAGCAACATAAGAAACTCACCACACCTCACACCTCATGTAACAGAGGGAATTTATCTCTATGTAAGCTATTTTATTTATTTGGAGGAACTGAATATATTTAACAAACATCTTTCTATATAATGACTAAATGTAGAAATATTCATAAATAAGAATTATCTATGATTCCATTAGCATTTAGTATTGTATACCAGTACTATTATTCCTCTATAGAAGCAGACATCTTAGATCATGATCAATAATATCATCTTAGCATTATCATTTGTATTTAACTTAGCCTTTAGATACCAAGTATATATAACTAGTAGCATGTATTAAACTTATATGAACCAATTAATTTATTTTTAGGCAGTTCCTTTAATTCACTGACTACATTACATTTGAATTATCTTGAAATATTGGTTTTGTAGTTTAAAAATTGTTAATTATTCACAATTCATATGAATCTACTTAATATATCTAATATACATTTGCTCAATTTGTGTAACTGTGTTTTATTGTCTAATATTGTCATTCATAGGTTTTTATATTCATGTTGAAGTGTCTTTGAAGAACACAAATATTTTAATCTTATTTATGCAGAAAAAAATATAGTATTTCCTTGTTTCCTCAATAAAATATTAATAGATATTTTCTGGATGCTTATTATATGATAGGTGAAGTAAACCAATTAGTACATCTTAAGCATAGTGTAGCTATGTAAGCATAAGATACTTTTTTGCAATTTGATACTTATGTGTTGATTAAGAGTTTCTGAAAATCCAAATAGTTTCCATTTACTATGGACTTTTAAGGACAAGAGGCAGTTTGTACTATTGGTGGCTTCTGTCATGTTACTGAAAAGATTTTACTCAGCAATGTATTCAAGAATGACCAAGCCAAGCGCAGTGGCTCATGCTTGCAATCCCAGCACTTTGGGAGGCTGAGGCGGGTGGATCACCTGAGGATGGGAGTTCCAGATCAGCCTGACCAACATGGAGAAACTCTGTCTCTACTAAAAATACAAAAATAGCTGGGTGTGGTAGTGCACACCTGTAATCCCAGATGCTCGGGAGGCTGAGGCAGGATAATTGCTTGATCCTGGGAGGTGGAGTTTGCGGTGAGCCGAGATCCTGCCATCGCACTCCAGCCTGGGCAAAAAAAGCAAAACTCCATCTCAAAACAAAACAAAAAAAAAAAAAAAAAAAAAAAAAAAAAAAAAAAAAAAAAAAAAAAAAAAAAAAAAAAAAAAAAAAAAAAAAAAAAAAAAAAAANAAAAAAAAAAAAAAAAAAAAAAAAAAAAAAAAAAAAAAAAAAAAAAAAAAAAAAAAAAAAAAAAAAAAAAAAAAAAAAAAAAAAAAAAGAATGACTAGAGCATTCCTTAGTGTTAATAAATCAAAAGAAGAGGTAAATATGGTTAATTAAAATATACTGTAATATGTAACCTATGTTTGAAATTTATAAACTGAAATAATGGCCTACACTATTAACAAAACACTGATGAATTTAAAATGTCCAGATCCAGTAAATTGATTTAATTTATCTTGTTTTACATGATTGTCAATATGTTCATTGTATAATTCTTTAGGAATTAAACAGTTATCTTTTATAGACGCTATTTCTTTTCAAGTTAACTCTCCTGTTCTATTGGTAAGTAAACCGACTGAGAATTAATAACACTGAATATATTAATGAAGAATGTCTGTTTAATCCATTAGTAATTTTCAGTTGTCTCTTTGTAAACCTATAGAGACTAACAATTGAGATTTTTAAAAAAATGTACCAGATAAAATATCCAAATTGTGTAGATTCTTTTAAATTAACAATGTTGTCATATTGCATTTTATGGTTTGTAAAAGTAGACCAGAAATAAATTATTTTAGTTTTAAATGTGTCACGTGCTTTTCCCAATAAACAAGAAAAAGATATTCTGGCAATGTGAAATAATATTGATTTAAGTTACTGTTAAGTAAATTAGTATGGCCAATGTAAATACTGATTCAACTACAGCTTAACAAGTTACTAAAGCCATCACATTCTCTGTGTATTTTAAATCCTAGCAATTGCTTTTTTTTTGTCAAGATGTTTGAAATTGGTGGGTGCTGCTTTATAAAAACAACTAGGTAGCTACTTTGAAAAAAGGACAGATAAAAGAATAGTCTTGTTCGGGCTAGTTAGTAAGTTTCTTTACATTGTTATTAATCTATTTTATTTTAAATACTTCATATCATAGCTAACTAAAATTAGCAAGGATTGAAAAATTGGTAAAAATTCTGTACCTGGTCTAAATACAAGTCACATCAAGAGCTACCCATATATTTGAGGCAGAAGACATTTGAACTAATTAAACTACAAAATGAAAATATTAAGTTACAATCCAATAGAAAAATAATTTGGTAACAACACCTTATTTTGTCTCACAATACAGTATATACACAATATAGCATAAGCAGTAGCAAAGACTAAATAGGCACAACAAAAAAATTTTCTTGAAGCTAAACAATTATTCTACCCTTGATAACATTTTCCCTATATTTTATTAACTACTATAGCTTCTGCTCAAAAATCATATTGCCTAATTTTTATTGTTCATTTATCCAGAGTAGCTTTGACCTTCACTATGAAAATAATGAACAACATGGATAAGAAAGCTGATTCACGGAGTACACCAAAATGGCATCAGATGTATTTATTTATTCAAATGGACCAAGTTTTTATGAAACATTTTGGTTATAGGCTATAAGCAATCTTACTCAGAGGATTCTTTCTATTATATCATTAATACCCCTTTTGATTTATGTTTTTTTCCTGTCACCCTTACTTGTATATTTGTGAGTATACAAAGCACAACCTGTCACAATGACATGCTCATAGGAGGCAGTTAATGACCATTCATATAATAAATATATATTTGTTAAATTTACAAATATATATGTGGGCCAGGCACGGTTCCTCAGGCTTGTAATCTTAGCACTTTGGAAAGCCAAGGCTGGTGGATTGCCTGATCTCAAGAGTTCAAGACCAGCCGAGTAACATGGCTAAACCCTGTCTTTACCAAAAACACAACTGGTAAGGCTGAGGCATGAGAATTGCTTGAAACCAGGAAATGGGGGTTGCAGCGAGTGGAAATCATGCCACTTCATGCCAGCCAGTGCTACAGAGTGAGACTCTGCCTAAAAACAAACAAATAAATAAATAAATAAATAAGAATGGGAGTGGCACATAAGTTCATAAAGGTATGTGAGAGAAAATTCAAAAAGTAACTGTGCTGTGTGAAATGCAATATTATTTTTATTTGATTCAAACATAAAGTTAAAATTAATACCAAATATTTTAAACACCATTTCACATTACATTTTAGGGTTTTTTTTGCTGAGAAAAATAATGCAATCCATAAACAAGTAGTAGGTGAAGAATATGTTGAACAATCTGAGTGAGGATGTTTCAAATGCTGAAGGAAGATGATGAATTTTTATAACATTATATGGATATGAATTTTTGGTTGAATTTAATAATTCTAATGAATAAAACCAATGCTAAATTATTCATGTATATTCAATAATCTTATATCTGTTTTACATAAGACACTGAACTAACATCTCTGTTGTACCCAGTACAGTTTTATATTATAATACATGACTGGCAAGTATTTATTGAATTTAAATTAATTAGGAATACATTTACATTCATTTTCAATTACCTATCATGATACAGGAGGAGAATAAAGTGGCTAAATCAGCATCAGCAAACATTCCAGAAACGTGACTTTGTCAAAAGCAAAGTGAAGAACAAAAACAAACATAATTCATACTATTCCAAGTCAGTTATTATTTCCTAAATAGGGAATTGTATTATAAAGTTAGGATTACTAATCAATTATGGTAATATACCTTTACCTCAAGTATAAGAATATCATTTTGGATATTTAAATGTCTTTATGGAAAGACAAATACTTTTGCAATATTTTATAATTCCAAATACTTGTTATGTGTAAGAACAACATCTAAGACTCCTAAAGTCCTCTGTAAATTGTAGTCTGCTTCTTTTAGTTAAAATGGCTTAAAACTATATTTATGCTGCTTTCTCTGAAAATAGAAAAAAATATTTTTTTTCCTGTATCTTTCCTCAGACTCTCAGCAATTTAATTCTTCATCACGAATGTTAGAGTAAACATTTTGTTTAACTCCAGGGAAATCTAGAAAAAGTTAACATAACACCACACTTGTATTTCATTATTTTGTGTTCATGTGAATTACAGTGAACTTAATACAGTTTAATGCCTTTAGCTCTCTACACTAAAGTTTGAAATAAAACTTTACAGCACTATCTAACGTTATTTAATCTGAAGTTCTCAAATACATATAAATAGAAAGATTTGCATATTTGGTTTAAACAAATGCCCTTTTCAGAGTACGATTTATTTATTTTGTCTTATTTAGTATCATATGGAATGCCAACTATAACAATGATTCCTAACTTTCATTTTTATCTAACCATTTAAAGTTAATTTCATTGTATTAGGTAATAAAAGACAGATCTTATTAAATATCGATATATCATATAGAGATTAAAAAGTAAGTGAAATTATAGAAGTAAAAAATCATTACAAGTAAGTATAAAATACTATATCAATACAACTCCAAAGAAAACTTGTAGCAATTTAGAAATATCTCACATAAACACCAACAAAATATACGTAGCAAACAAATTCAAGAACTCTAAAGCAATTTAAAGTGGAAGTGATTTTGTAGAAAGTTATTTTTACTGAGTTTCTTACCCACTGAGAATAAAGAGCTGAAGACTTGTATATTCTTCACAATTTGTTCTGACTTGATCAGTTTTCTAGCCTGCTTAATCACTATAATTGTTTTTGAAGTCTATGTACTAGAAATCTGGTTAACTCCTTACCAACTCTGAATTATTAAAGAGACTCTTTCTAGAATGAGACAAATTTATATATTTCAATTCTCCTGGGATCTTTCTTCATATCAAATAAGAAGGGCTAAATGATCCTTATTTTAACTTGTATCATTGGTATTATTAATTTTATTCAATGTACCTCAGTACCAATGAAAACATATGAATAGTTTTAAAAGTAACTGTTTAAAATACAAACACACACAAACTAACCAAATTATTTACATTAACATGTAATAATTTTAGCTTCTAAGTCGTTTACTGCAAACATGGGGGCAAATGTGAACTTTGGGATGAGAAAAATATGGAGTTTAGTTCTCTAGTTACCACTGACTAGCTAGGTGAATTTTGGCATTTGATTAATCACTATGAGCCACTATTATTCCTACATAAGTAACTAACATCTGCCTTATGTGACTCCTGGGAGGCCAAATATAAATGCCATCAAAGCAAGTAGCACACTACTTGGCTTGTGGTAGTAACTTAAGATAATATAGCTAATGCATTTATAAATAGTCATCTTTCTGTACCATCACATTTGAGAAAGGAAAGTGGAAATAAGGGTAAGAAGTGACTGATAGAAAAGAGTCATTCCTTTAAGTGTTGATCAAATGATCAATTCCACAGGAGACTACCTATGGGGGTGTATACGTGTGTAAGGCTGGTAGACTGAGAGGAAAGCCTCAGGCTAAATTCTCCTTCAGTTGACACTTGAGTTTCTCCAACAGTTTCAGATTTATTGTATGTTCTTGAATCCACAGAGCACTGATCCAGACTTATGAAAATCATACTGGGGTCTTTTTTCCTTTGACGGTTCACATGGCAACTGTGTTTTTGTTGCCTGGATTCCCATGGTTACGTACAGAATTGTCTGGTTTTCCTGGCTAGACTCCTGATTGGGAATAATCATGTGGAAATGACTATTACATGACTTGAGAGTGATCCTGTATTGCAGGTATCAGTTTAGTCTTTTTCAAAATAGATAAAATAATACAGATATAGCCAAGGCATTTACTTTGTGGAAAAAAAAAAAATCAAACTATTTGTTATTTTCCACCATTTCCCAAATTCTAACTCTTGGTAGATTTGTAAAGAATAATCAAAGCCCAATAATATTTCTTCTATAGATTATAGCAGATTAATGCCTTGGAAGTAGGATGGTGGTGAGGGTAGGAGTGAAGGACTTATGCAACAAATAAATATAATAGGATCAATGACCTCAGAAACCTCTTGATATCCCTGGGGTTCTATAAAGGAGTTACTTTCGGATAGCAGCCTTCAGTGGAAAGGAACTGAATTGTGTCTGAAGATGTATACTTATGCTATTGCCCGAAATCACAGATTGGAAATGAGAAATGATGGCTAACGAAAAATAATAGTTAAATTGTTATAAACATACCAACAGCACTGCTACAGAAACTGTTTTTTCACATCACTTTTCTATTTTGCAAGGTCAGTAAAAGAAAACTGAAATAAAACTTTACAGCACTATCTAACGTTATTTAATCTGAAGTTCTCAAATACATGTAAATAGAAAGATTTGCATATTTGGTTTAAACAAGTTGAGTTTGAGGATGTTCAATTGATGACTATTTTAAAACCTTTTACTGTGCAAGGTTTTTGGCTGAGGTTTTATTCAAAAGGACCCAAGAGAAACATTATCCTTCAGTCAAGTACACAGCCCTTGAACGTTGCTGAAATTTTTTGCTATGCTATTTCTTATAATAAACTAGAGACCGAAAAAGTGATCAGCATAATTAACCACATACCTAATATTTTCATAGATAAAATGACATTTATACATATTTAAAATAAAATCCATATTTATAGTAGGAGAGTTTTTCTTAGCAACATAAAGGACTGAGATTACTATCTCGTGTGTAGAAAATACTCTAAAATTGACTTTTAATCTTTGAAAATATTCAGTTGTTACAGCATTTTTCTATAAATATTTGGGTTTGGGCTACACAAGAAGGTTGAGATTTCAGTAATAAATTTCATAATTATTTTCATATAAATATTTGCACATTAAATATTTATATCACAACAACAAAGAAGAATATTAGATCTTACATAGTAGAATAAATTGTCTGAATTTTGTCCTGACAGTAACTAACCTGGGAAAAGAGAATCATGAAAAGTCCATAAAGAAGATAGTCTACATACTCCCAAATTTTTATTCTATCAAAGTTAGGGATGCTAATGTTTTCTTCCTCTATTATAGACAGTGCTGTCACAGTTATGTATTCACCTTGGTTTGAGGGGACATTAGTTATGGCTGAACACTCTGGTACCCCCACTCCATCTGGACCACTTAATGAGCACTCTCTCTCTTTCAAGACCAAATGAGATAATGCATGCAAAATCACTTTGAAGAGCATAAAGTACACTACAAATTCAAAGTACTATTACTTTCAGACAAGTAATTAGTGCTTTTAGTAATAAAGAAGTACCACTTGATAAAATTAATATATGAATGATAGTTCTTTGGAAATGACCCTATAATCAGTTGGGCACATACCTAAGTGATAAGTAGTATAACTTACATCATATTATCTTACTTTCCTAATGACAGTTCTATAAATTTTTATAAGAACAAGATACATCAGGATAAAGAGATATATGACACCTATTGTTTTTCATTGAACTATACTTAGAATGCTAGAAAATATCATTTGTTAAACAAAACATTCAGGAATATTTAACAATTAATTAAAATCAAATGTAAACAATGTTATCAAAATACGGTAGAAATAATATGTTTTGTAAAAAAAAGAAAATATAAAATGAAAACGTTCCATTTAATCCAATTTACTTTCTTTTCAAATGTCTCTTTAATAACATTCTCATTTGGAATTTGTGGGACGGTGCACATCTATTCTTTCTTGAATAGGTACATTTTTTTGATGTGACCTCAGAACGAAAGTGATTTTAATTTTACTTACTTTATTGAGGTCTTAAGACAACATGAGTTATTTTTATCCATTTAAAATATACTTTTGAGTAAATATTATGACCCTGTTTTGAAAAAAAGCAACAAACATTGATGTGTTGTAATTTTAGGCCTTTCAAAGAAGAGTTGTAATTAATTAATTCCATAACCAAAACAGAAAGAATAAGCTACATGAGATTTGGAGTAACACTGAGTATCAGTTTATACAATTATTTTTAAATGAAAAATAACATTAATTTGAATTGTCAGAACTGAGGTCTTGTATTATGTAATTTAAACTCTAACTTTATAATTTA